TAAATTAAATATTTATTGCCACAATTTGTCAGCTAGGTGACGAAGATAAGCAACAACCATATATGTACGAATAGGCGCAATTTGGGGGGGGCTTTACCCCCCTAAGTTTTTAAATATATTCATTCTTAAGCCCACCTAATAAAAAAATTATACGGGTCTGTATTGTTTTAATAAATTTAGCCCCCCCCCCAAATTAGTTGTCCAAATTGTGCCTATGTATGTATTTACTCCCAAAAGCGCAATGTACAAAGTACGAGAGCCCGAAAAATTCAAACCCCGGCTTTACCTCACTACGAGTCACGCGACAAGTTTAATACGTACCTTATTTGCCAATACTATACCCCCTAGTAACACTTTAAATTTGAGCTAAATATTTAAAACAACATATAATTTATATTTATATTTTACATATATATTATACACCTCATATTTATTAGTATTCACACGTATTTTAGAGTATAGTTTATAGGTTTACCTATACAATAGGTACCTATATTTATTATTTCACGATGAATCGTTATATATTTTCTATAGATAGCTCATAAAACTAAACATTCGTAGTTCATAGTATTACATATTGTGGATGTATACATATATATACATCATAAATCGTGTAAATAATTTAATTAAACAATCATGTATATTACTGGTATATCAACAAAGACGTCCGCAAGGGGGGGGGGAGTAGGGGCTGTTGCCCTCCCCCCTTGGCTTTTTCATAGGTCGATAATATCCATTATAAAAACTTCTTATTCTATTTGTGTAAGTTATATTACGAGTATCAAGTAGCTAGAATCGGAAAAAAAATGCAAAGTGCATAGCCAACGAAATCCCAAAATCAATCATTACCTACTTATTACCTAAATTTAATATTAAATATAGCAAAATAAATATTTTTTAAATTAAATTTTTTTGTAACAAAGTGATTTTTATTACACTGGATTTTGAACGTCAGAACTAAGAACGTTGCTGTTATAGATTTATGACATACCTACTTATAAGTGTCTATATATTGTAATGGTGGGGCCAAGTGCAATACTGCAGTGTCAACCAAGTTTTTACTTTTTTGATAAAACAATTAAATGTTCATATAGTGGCATATAGGTGCCGTACCTACAATAGTTTCAACTTATCACGGAAAAAAATGATTACATATAATTGTAGTTGCAACATTTATAGTTAATACAACTATTTTGAAGTTAAGATTAATAAACGATTTTAGTAGATATGAATACAAAATTGTAGTTAAAATATTATAGTTACTAGTACTATAATTTAGTTAAATCTATTTCCATTAACTATTTATTTTAGTTAAAACTTGGTTTTATACAGAATAGTTAATTTTACTATAATTTATAGTAAGCATAACTGAAAAATATTGTTGTTTGTTTTATTTTTAAACGCGGTATACGTGATTCCCAATGTGTTGTTTTGTTATCGGGCAAATAGCGATCCGTCCGCTGCAGTCGTCGTTGTCCATCTTAGATCATATACTAGTATTATGATCTAAGTTGTCCATTTATGATCCTCTGTATTCGACTTGATATCAAGTTTGTGTTATCAATGACTGAATAAGCTAGAAACATTTAATTTTATAAATTGCCTAAAATTATCAAATCAATGGTAAAATTGTATTTATTAAAAAAAATGCATTTGCTAATTTAAAATTACATACCTAACAGTTAATTAAAATGAATGCTGTAAGCAGTGGCGCCCAACCCTATTACTAGGTATAACGGTCGCTACACCTTGAAAATAAGGAGTGGGTGGGAATAATAACATAAAATAATTAGCTTGAAATATGTTCATTATTAATCACAGATTATATTGGTTGATACCTCAATATTTACTAATATTATCAATTAAAATATGATAAAATAATATAAATTTGAGTTTGTGAGGGTGGGTGGGTAAAATTATTTCTTTCTACACCTGAAAAATATATCTTGGGCGCCACGGGCTGTAAGATTAAGTTGTAAATAATTAACTAAGTACGTATAATTCATAAATAATTTTTACATTCCTGCCTATATGAAAAAAATATGTCACAAACAAAAGTGAAATAAAAAAATTAAAAAGGAAAATATTTTGCCCTCCCTAATTTCTTTGACAAATTTCTGCGGACGCCCTCGTATCAATTTTATTTTATTATGAGTAGGTGACCGGCGTAAAGTGGCAGAAAGCATATTTTTAAAAATTAAAAACATAAAAACAAAATATTATATAATTTTGTAGTAGAAGTAGGAAACTGCAGTCTATTCTAATTTCTGATCCCATTAATTTAATAATTATTAAATTCATCATTGAATAATGATTACTCAGAGACGGTCAAAGATCACTTGAGGATAAATCATAAATGCCAAAAGAATAAAAGTATATTAAATTAAGAATATTAAAAAAAAAATAATTTGTGGAGGAATACTGAGAGAACTGCTAATATGAAAGTCCAAGTCATTATTAACAACAAAATTCGAATAATGAATATTTTAGTACCCACATTTTAACAATCAACATCACTAAAGAACTCTAATTATTTGGTTTCCAATGTTTTTATACTTTTAGGTTTGTTTCTGGGATCTTTTAGGTATTCCTGTATTTTTTTTTCCGTTATTCATTTTATTATAATATAGGCAGTTATATTATATTATTATAGGTTTAGGTAGCAATACAAATAATTTAGTAAAACTAAAATTACATAAATAATAAGTAAGTAGATAGTAGTAACCTCCTAATAACTAAAATAACAATAAGTAATTTGTCATTTAAAATATAATACAATATTAGGTATTGCATATTATAATTTAGTAATACCAATGCAGTGGTGGTTCTTAGGGGGGAGAAGGGGGGCGAAGGGGGCTCTCACCCCCCTCGGATTTTTTTTGCATGTTCTTTTTTTAATTGAAATTACACTAAATACTTGAATTGCTCTAATTATGGTGGGGGATGCTGAAAAATTTAAAATAGCCCCCCCCCTTGATGTTTTATCAAAACCGCCACTGTACGAACTGTTTGTACCAGTGGCGTCCGCAGGATTTTTCAATGGGGGGGGGGGCTTGAAAATTAGTTACAAATTTATTTTTATTTTGTCTAGTCTAATAATTTCAGACGTTTATTTGAGATATTTTAAAATGTTTGTAATTTTTCAACTTTTCTGGTAGAAAAAATGCTCTTATCATAACCTTCAATGCCCAGTGTATGTTTTTGGAAGCAAATTGGATCTAGTTGGTACTTTTAGGAGGTCGAAATTGAATCTGCTCAGTGCTTTTAAAAGTACCTAATTGGAGAAAAAAAAATGAAAACTTATTTAAATTGTTTTTTAACAATAGCTTGGTTTGGTTATACCATCCTCACTTGGATTGTATTTGATTCATTACATTTTTTTTTTATAAATGTCAATAAAAAATTATTTATCCGGTCAAAAAGCTTAAAAATGTAATACGTAAGTTTTTTTATTATAGCTAAAATATTAACGATACATATGCATTTAAAGTTCAAAACAATTTAACCACAGTTAATTTGTAGTTCAAAACTTATAAAATATAAAATATGTATAGCTAAGGCTAGATAATTTAATACAAGGTCTTTCATACAAATAGGTAGTTCATTCTTTTACCGAAAAATTACAGATAATTTATGAAAATTGGTATGCAAATACAATGTTTTTTTCAAAAATGAATTCATTCTGGTAAGACATAAATTAAATTTACGTCTTGCTTACTATAGAGTATAGTTAACAGTTTAAACTTGATTAATATTTTTTTTTAAAGTAATAATAATACGAGCAATGGGGGGGGGGCTTCAGCCCGTTAGCCCCCCCCCCCCTGCGGACGCCACTGGTCTGTACCAATGTCCAATTGGCAATTCGATATTTCAATAGCAGCTATTTGCAATGGTGATGCTTTATAAACTGCATAACAAATAATATGACCATAGTAACAAGATTGAGTGCATTAGAACCGGCATACTGTTTGGAACAAAATATCAAAATGAACGGAAAAAACGAAAAAAAAAACGTAAATTGATAACTGATAAGAATGTCTTGTTTCAGTTTCACGAATAGACACCGGAAATGCCGAATGGCGAATACCCTAATATTGTTGTGTGATATAGGCATTACTGCACTAGCGACTTGCAATTCAGTCATTCAGTATAATATAGCATTGTTTAAGATAATGTGTACATAATGAAGTACATTATCTTAAATCGTGGTAACCAACCACTTGTCACTACTTCGGTAGGTTAGTACGAAATACTATAGGTCTACAATACTACTGTCTACAGTATTTGTTAGTAATCACTAAATTGTTGATCGTTATTCAATGCTTGTTAGTTGTTACAGTTTTTCATTTTTCTTTGATATTTCTTATGCCATTATGGCCTTTTAGTTTCATACTTTATTGGGAATGGTGAACCAATCAATTTCTCATTAATTAGTGATACTTGTTAATACCTATTACAGTATTATCCATAACTTGTTAACGCTTACTAATGTAGGTAACGAGAAGTCAATGTTTTGAATTTAGTCGATTGACTTGCTTCAATGGCTCAATAAGGTCATTCAATAAAATAACTTCGACATTTTGGTAAATAGTATTTATTATTATTTAAGTACCCCCCATGTGTGGTTGTTGCTGTTTGTATGTTTTCTATTGTTAACCGAGTTGTATTTCTTAATAGCGATACATATGCATGTTCACATTCACACAATGGATTCCAAATATAAAGAGCTGCATAGAGAAGCCATTTCCAACCAAACAGGCTCATCATTACTTGAAATTTACACATCTCTGTTCCCATTGCCAATTCATGTACTCATATTTATTTGGATGTCAATTGGTACAAACTACAGCAAAAAAATCAACTCTCCGACAGTTTGGATGTTTCTTTTTGAATTTATTATAATGGTACTACCGACCGTGTTTAATTTCACGTTGCTTTCAGATTATTCAGTGGGACAGTTCTTAATTTACATTACAATCTTTGGTGTTGCGTTTACTTGGATGTTGTTGAACCACAATTATCTATCATTGAGTACTATTAAAACAAAAAAAAATCCTTACATGACTGTTTATAGATTTATGCTCAATACCTACACAGTATTTTGTATATTGGCAGTAGATTTCAATGTGTTTCCACGGCGGTTCGCCAAAACCGAAACGTATGGACACGGTGTAATGGATATAGGTGTAGGATGTTATGTTTGTTCTAATGCATTATTGTTTAGTATTCCCAATACACAGAATATAAGTAAAAATGTACTCAAAATTTTCAAACAAGTCTTACCATTACTTGTGTTGGGAATTGGTCGTACTTATTTTGTAGCAAAAGCAGATTATCATCACTATGTATTTGAGTACGGTGTACATTGGAATTTTTTCATGACTTTAGCATTCCTAAAAATAATTAATCTATTTATTTTGCCATTTGTCAGCACTTGTTGTCTATCTGGTATTGCCACAATTCTGGTCATTATTTATGAGTTAGCATTGAATTTTGGTCTAGCCGATTGGATTATGAGTGATGCTCCTAGAGACACACTGTTCTCAGCGAACCGTGAAGGCATTTTATCGTTAATAGGCTATGAAGCAATATTTTTATATTCCTTGTCAATGAAATCACGGTTGTCTGTTTTTATGAATAAAAATCATTTAATAAACAATATGTTCCTTTTAATAGTAACGGCTTCTTTATCTATTGCTTTATTTTTATTGACATTCGCCATAAGTTTTGTTTTTGGTGTTTCTAGAAGATTAGCTAATGCTGGTTATGTTTACTGGGTATTATCTATATCTTCGTATCTATTATTCATGTCGATTATGATTGAAAACTTCATAAATATTCTTTTACGTAAGACAGGACGAATGGGTGAATTCAATAGAATTTCACTCATTATAGATAGTATAAATGATAATTTATTATTTTTCTTTTTATTTGCCAATGTTGTAACTGGAGTCATAAATATGTGTTTTTACACTTTAGTAATGAATACCGTCTCTAGTTTAATTATTTTGTCTCTTTATATGTTTGTTATTTACTTCACAATTTATATTTTACAGAGTTATAAAAATAATATATATGTTTAATTTTTAAATATTTTTTTTTACTATTTATATCATGGCAAATTGTGTACAAGTTATCTGTTTAAATTAAAAATAAAAATTTTTTAAATATTAATGGTATCATTTTTTACAGCCATATGATTGCATGGTTATCAGATCAAAATGAGAATTTATAAAATAATCGCATGAACAATGTATTTTCTTCAAACCTGAAAGAACCAATTAAATGATGAAACGGTCAATACAAAATAAGAGATTAAAAAATATAAAAAATACACACTAATGATAAATTATTTACAACTAGGATAACATTTGTTATAGTCTTAACAATAACTTTTCACCAAAATGTTGAGGAGGGTCAAGGATTTAGTACAAGTTTAATAGGCATAAAATGGTAGGTAGGTGTTTGTGATAAAAATGTCAACACTGAAATCTGAATAAAATGTTGGTGAAATGTAATACATTGGTTTGTAACCAGTAATAATACTTGTAGATTAAAATTATTTTACAGATAAAAACAAAGATTTAAATAAATAGTGTATTTTAATTTTGAATGACCAAACAATTTACTAAATATTTTACATAATATATAACTTTTATTTTATTTACAATAGTTTATTCTGGACTTGACGATGGATTAATAGTTGGTTGAGATATGTATACTGGCGTAGGTCCATTGGCTTGTGAGGCCACCTTAAAAAAAACATTTTAATATTAAGTCGATGATTAAAATGTTTTAAATATTTTACTTAGTAAAATTACTTTACTAAGTATCTTACTTGTATGATTTGAGGTTGAGACTGAACCACTTGAACTTGTTGAGATTGAGGAGAATTTTGAATTTGCATACGAAGCATTTGCAGTTGATGGGCGTTAATTTGTATCTAAAAAAAAAAAGGTACCTACTTAAAAAATACTGTTATCATTTTCAAAAGCATCTTTATCTAAATAACAGAAAAATGTAGACCATAAGTATGGTAATATGCTAATTGTTAGTAATGGTTATGGAAAATATATTCATAAAAATTAATTCAGAGACTACTGAAATTGAATAGTTAGTTGAGCACTATTAATATTTTTTCGTTAATCAAACCATTGGTTATAAATACTATAGATTGCTCATTGGACAGTTTTTTGGAGGCACAAAATATATACTGTTGGTAGATGGTGCGACTACTAATGGTTACAATGGTACTGTACATTACTAACCACGCTCCCGTGGTTTAGGTGTGAGGGTATGGTTAGTAATGGACAGTACCATTTTAATCGCTAGTACTTTTTTCGTCTCGCACTCAGCAGTAAATATTTCAAACTACTGAAAACCATTCAGTGAGCAATCTTAAGTATTTATAATCAATGATCAAACAAATAAATTGGTTAGATGGGACCTGTCTATGGGGTTATATTCATTATTTAATAGAGGTAGTAATAATATTATATACTATAGCCTTATTTAAAAATTCTAACTATATAATTTGTTTAATATCTCTTGATATGAGGTCAACCAATGAACTGTGGTCTGCTGAAATAATAATAAAAGTAGTGTGCGGTCAAACATCCAAATATTATTAAATTCCGTTATTTTACAATTAAAATGAAAATTAAATAATCAAAAAAAATTTTAAAAACCGGGGATGTTCTCAGTTGAATAGTAGGTTAAGTATACAACAGTAGGTGAGTGTAATGGAAGTGTTAAATTTGAATTAAAGATAAACCAATGCACACAAAACCTATTCTGAACAACTGTTGAACTTGTTCGGGTTATTTTACTAATAAACATTTAATACTACAGTAGGTTAAATTCATTTTTGCCAAAAAAATTGCCTTTGAAAATGTCAGTATGTGTATAAAATATAAAATATTTAAGAAGTTTCAATTGCCCACAAATAATATTTTTAAATATTACAATAAAATACCAAATTTTGTCTATATTTAAACTTAAAATATCCATAAAAAAAACTGTGTTTACATATTTTTTTTTGATATGTTGGATACAATTTAAACCACTTATGAGAATCCTCATTTTAAATATTCAATCCTTAGCTATAAAAATTGAACATTTTATTAACTATAAAATAATTTGTATATTTCTGAGATTTTGATGAATTTAAACTTTTAATACTTAAAAACGTGCAAATAAACGTGCCTAAATATCTTTAATATTTTTCAACTGAATACCAACTTATGAAAAATTTTGTATTCAATTTTCAAGCATTTCACCAAAAAAAATTGTTGACAGTTATATAAAAAAATTAAAATGACAAATGTCTATAAATATTAAATAGCATTAATAAAGTTAATTAACTATTAATACTATTATACTAATTAATAGTATTGAACTATTAAAAATATTTTGAACATTTAATCATGTATAGAAAATGCTTATAATAATATTCGGGGATTATTTCAAGTATCCAATGTCTTTTTTAGAGTTACACCAATAATAAGAATAAATGTTGTCAAAAACTAGTGTGGAGCAAAAATTTTGTTTTATTGACGCTATTAAAAACTATTGGGTATTTTTCATTTTTGACCCCCTTAAGTACCAACTATTTTCACTTTCTATCAAAGCATTTTCACCACTCCAAAATGTGATGACAGACAGGAAAAATAACACATCATTGTAAAATCAATACATTCTTTTGTTCCCGTCAGAATCTAAAAATGATATACAGTAAAACTTTGGTGACGGAAGGTAGCATTGAGTCAATTTATTTAGTCCCGATTCAAAGACTACCCAATGAATGTGAAATCCATCAAATCGGAAACTCCGTTAAGATGGAAAATTTGGACAGCCCCAAGCGATTCCGTCTTAGCAAAAATTTACTGTATAATGTTACTCAATATTTAAAATTTAAAGTTGCTATATGAACATTTTATGAAGAACTTTTTGTTTTATTTTTAAGTCATAGCCTATTAAATTTGAAAATCGTATAAATATTAACTACAAATTAATTTGCATAATGTACTTGATTGTGATGAAATCTGTCAACACATAAATACTTGGAACACATATAAAAAAATTTGTGCTTATAAAGTTTTAAAGTTTTAAAATCATTACAATTGAAACTTATGAGGACTCATTTTAATTATTCAAGCTTTTTGACCGCACATCAAATTTATTATCAGCACATAATATGGAAAAAAACTAAAAATTTAAAATGCTTATACATTTTTAAAAGTTGGTTTTAATCGATTACTATTAATCTACTATATAAGATTTACTATAAAAAACCACAAATAAACTAAGATATTGTTACCTATATATCATTGATTTTATATAACATATTAATAATCATGATATGAATATCCTAGCTATGCTAGAACATAAATCATTGGTAGAATGCATACTACACTGACTTATTTAGATAACTATACAAAATTTAACCACTTGATCTATGAAAACTGGTCGTGTTCACATATCCCCTCTCATAAATGATCACAATGACAAGCTGTTGAACATTGAGATACTACGAGATGTATAAGTAGTAAGGTATATTGTCATACCCTTTTCACAACACTAGGCTCAGTAGGCATGCACAGAAGTGAGTAATCTTATTTTGAAAAGATACTTAAAATTGTTTTAAAAGTTTAAATTATACAAATCATTTTTTTGACCCATAAGAATTATTTTGAGTACCGTGATCAATATTACTTTTAAAATATATACTTCTACGTAGTTAACGATTATCTACACTTACAGGTATATGTTGTATTTCTCCGGTTGGAGTAATAACCTGTTGTACTAATTGAAGTACGCCATTTGAGTTTGTATTTAATCCCTGAGTATTGCCTTGTAACTGGATAACTTGTGGCTGACTTCCTGTTACAGTGGTTGAAGTACTTGTAATATTTGATGTATTATTTGGAATCTAAGTAAAAAATAATACAAATTAAAAAATATATTATTCCATAAAAATTAAATAGTTATACAATACTACTAAGGACTTCTAGTACTCAAAACCCTCAAAATATGTATGCCTCTATACATTTAAAAAACAAATAATATAGCATTAAATTTTAAATCAAATTAATGCAAAATAAAAAAAAATATGATATTTTAATTAATTGATAACGAAATTGCACAATAATCAAACAACAGTAGTGGCATCATTTGGAGGAGACAAGGTGGGAATTTGTCACTGTCTGATTTTAAAAGCAGCCCGATAAACCGTTTAACCATTATTGGTAAAAATAAGCATGCCTATAATTTGAGAAAATGTTATATTAAGTAAGTACCTAATAAGAAATTATTGTTACAATGATAAATATGTTATTACTAGGGCCTGCATATTTTTTTGGTTTATCTTAGACAATGCTTTCGATGTACATAATTTGTTTCATGTAACGAGTGATTCAAAGCTAAAAATTTTACTTTGCATATATCGACGTTATTTTTATTTTTAGAGCATTTTTAGCATTATTGGGCCATTTTTTATGGTTTTAAAGCATATTTATTCAATATATTATAACAATTTAACCTAGATAAATTGTTTTCTTGATATTTAAGTAGTTTTTGTTTAATAGGTTTATCAGGTTTTTCCATACACACTGTCAATCATTCGATTCATTTCAATTCAATTTTTATCTTATTTTAATTATTAACTGTGGAGCGTCACCCATACTCAGATAAATAACAAATAATTAGTGAGTTTGTGCAACATCACGGTCGAATTTTGTATGTTTTTATTTCATGTTCGTAATTTTAACAGGGTTAAATTTGTGTTAAATAACGCCCCAAAAAAATAATCATCAAAATTAATATGATATTTTTAAGGTTTTTAGCTTATTTTTTAAGGGCATTTATGTCTATTTTTTTGAGCATATTTGTATGGTTTTAAGAGCATTTAAATCCGGGCCCTAGTTATGACCTAGGTAATAATTAATAGTTGGAGTATATTAATATTTAGATACATGCAAGTAGATGTGTATGTGTGTGAAGGAATAGCGACATATTATTGTATATTATACAATAATAATATCATAATCTGATATAATATGCAATTTTATTTCTAAAATCTAAAATTAATACAAATTCTAAAAACAACTACTTAGCAGCTTTATTTATCATTGATTTAAATTAACTTGTGGCCAGTGCCGGCGCTAGGGGAGGACAAATGGGACATTTGTCCAGGGCCCCGCGCTTGTTAAAGGGCCCCGTGATTTTTAATTATCATCTTAATACTAATACCGTGGTCTACGGTCTACCGTCGTATATTGCATTATTCTGCCTGCAGCGGTCGCGTACTTAGATATTAAACAATTTATTATTTTATTCAAACATTTTGATGAATTAATTTATTTTTAATTGATGATTTTATGTAGTTGTTAAAATAAATGTAAATTAATAAAATAACGAGCCCTTATGAATTTATTGGCCTACGATTTTCCACTCAAAGGTTTAACTGAAACTCACGCCAATAATTCTGTGCTGAGCGAGGTTTCATCAGGAGGAATCGCACTCGAATGTGTTGTCTCCGTTTACACAAGTAGGTAAGGTAAAGTGGGGTAAGTGTGACGCAAAAATGAAAAGTTAATTTTGAATTTGACAATACTTTTTTTGTTTTTAACTTAAAGTTGTTATTGTTCCATAATGTAACACCTCTAGATAAACATAATTGGAATTTATAGTCGACAAAGTTATATTATCACTCACCTAAGAATAATTTTTTTTTTTAATTTTAAAACGTCACACTTGCCCCTTTTCATGGGGCAAGTGCAAAATCGGATTGTTTTTGCTATTAGTACCTATTACATAAAATTATATATGGGGCAAGTGAATAACAAAGATAAAAATAAGCTTTAATTTGATTTTTGTTTCATTAAAATATCTTGATTCATTAAGAATTGACAGAGCATTATTTAAATTTAATTATTTACCTATATTATATTAAAAACAGTACTTTTTTTAAAATCCTGATTTAAAAAAAAACTAAAATTTCACTACTCTCTGAAAACCTAAAGACCTATGACCAGGGCCCCGCAATACCTAGCGCCGGCACTGCTTGTGGCAGTCAAGTGACAGTTATGGTATTATCGTCTATTTAACTTAATTTTAGAGTATTATAATTTAATTTGTTTGGAGTGTTTATAATTATTTTTGAATATGGATGAATATCTAAAAAAAAAAAAATGGTTGATGCACCCAATGACAGACAGATAAAAAAATTGAACTACAAACTTCTATTTTTTTAAATGAGAACCTTTTTTATTTCTGCAAATTCTTTAGCAGATGATTTTCTTGAACATTTAGATGTATCAAAATCAACATTTTAATGAGTAGTATCTGAGTTATTAAAATGATTATAATAATAATCCCTAAAAATGTTTTTACAAAAATAAAATATACTAAATGTAGTATATATTTAGATATCATACTTGGATTATTTTTACAAATAATATTTAGTGATAGATCAATATTAATTACTAATATTTTTAAAAAAAATATCTGCTGAATAACTAAAAGTGAAAAAGAGAGATTCTAATTTGAAAAACATAAGTTTGTACTGCTAAAGAATCATTCTTCATTCTTAAAAAACATTACAAGTTACAACACTATTTTTGTTTTTTTTTTTTTTTAATTTTAAGTTTATTGGTGTATTATTGTAGTCAAAATAATGTAAAATGTTTTGGTAAAAATCTGAAGTTAAAAAAATGATTACGAGGTAATGACAGTTGATGAATAACCACGTGACATCATAGAGCTGACAAGTGAGCAGCGGCCTATGTTTTACATGTAATAATAGTGTTATAATGATTATAAAACTTACGATAGTATTTCAGAATTTTTTTTTTTTTCATAATCCTAACTATCATATGTTTGTGCTTAAGATGATGGTGTGATTTAAAATGTAATATTTCTTGTTATTGTATATAAATTAAAAATTATAATTAAGTAAAATTATTGAGTTCACAACTCAAGTAGTGTGCTATATAAATAAAATTTTACAAAATTTACTATAATAGTTGTATCTACTATGAAAAAACTAAAAACTATATCAAAACGATAATCATACCAGTGTCATTAGCACAAAAAAACATTTAGTTACATAAAAATAAATTACCTTTAACAATTGAAATTTGAAATCATTGTATTAATCTAGACACTTTTACACGTAAAACATACACCACTGACGACTTTAGTTCTATGACATCACATGCATATTTTCAAACCCCTGTTACTCAATGAATAATTAGAGTTAAAGTGCGAGAGCCTCACCATATTTCTTGGATAATGACATACTTTAAATCCAAGCAAACTTGTTTTTAGTGTTGTGATGTCCTATAAGTAGTACAAAAATCTCAAGAATTCAAAAATATGGTCTTCAAGTGTATTTAAAAATTCCAACAATCAGAATTTGAATATATGCATGATTCAAGCATAAAAATAAAATGAGCATGTTTAAAAAATCAACATGTATAATATGCTCTTAATTTGTCAAATATACTCAAATATACAATTTAAAAGACTTGAGATATATCAAACATATTTTATAAGAGAATATTAAATTAACCTAACCAAAAGGTAAGCTTATTTAATTATACAACACTATAATTTAATAGTTGATTATAATACAACTTACATTTTCTAAATTTACTTGATCTTGAGTACCATTCCCTAAAGATACTACTTGATTGTTCACTGGCTGTAAGATTTGTATTGTCTGTCCAGCACTTGACCCTGATGCATTATTTGTTTGTTGTTGTTGTTGCTGCTGTTGTTGCTGCTGTTGTTGTTGCTGCTGCTGCTGTTGTTGTTGTTGTTGTTGAGCAAGTTGAAAATAATACTGAACCTAGAATTTAAAAATCAAGTAGAATATTAAGTTTATTTTCTTCATCAATATTTTACTCAGTTTAATAACATATTTGAAAAAACTAATTAATGAAAATGCACGATAACAATGTTAACGTGGAATGTTAATTATACTTCATAATTAAACAATTTTAAATCACCATGTAATCAAAGTAAGTGAAGTTATTCCTTTATTTTAACATAAATATGTTTTTGGACTGGAAATACGATAAAATATTTCTGACCAATTTTTCTTAATGTTTTTTTTGTCAAGGTTAGGTACTTATTAACGAAAACATATTTATGATTCATAGATTTTCCTTGTAGAGGAAAAATATCAAGTAGCGTTTTTTATTTTTCACATAAAATAAACTGGTTAAAATAAATTTAAATGATATGATAAGTTGATATTTAAAATTGCTTATTCTATATAATAAGTTATTGGTGAAATACCTTACAGAATTATAGATAAAATAAATACAAGTACCTAATACCGATAAGTGATAATTACTTGTTCGGGATTCAGTGATGTCTTAACTTCTTTTGTAACAATTTTTGCTTCTTCTCTAGGCACTATGTCAATAAGAAAATCAAATTGGTCATATTTGGTGATCGCCATAGCAATATCATTTCTTTGTAACGTTCGTCGACGGTTGTCTTCGGTATGAATCCAAGCGCGAAGAGTCAATTCATTGATAAATATTTCCGCAGCTTTCGAGAACAACATCGGAGCCTCTGCACTGATCATTTTTACATTGTCATCTAATTTCATCACTTTTTTTATTCTAGCTAGTGGTAACGCTTGTGTTTTTAAGTCTAACTAAACAAAATTCGAAAAAAAAACTGCTCCGTCACAACCAAGCATAATTTATAGAATGAACAAACTTACTGTTCCAATCTTTCTGATTTCCTCGATTGCTTTGGGCCAAAATTGGTTTAGGGCAGCCACATTGCATGTTTGATTGTTGTCGTCTACGGATATTGTAATGGCGTTGGGATCATCTTCGGTCGGATTGTCTTCCTCTTCTTCTTCTGTGGACCTGCAATTAGTACACGCTTATTATAAAAACATACAATATTCAACAGTCGGCCATTAATACTTACGGATTCACCAAGAAGACGGACATGGCTATATTAGGCTCACGATTCGGATTCAATCCAAACGAATTAATTTGCCGCTCAAATTAGCGCATCCAACCAAAATTGGCGTATCGTTAGTTCTCAACAGAACAAAAGCAGATGTCCAATAGCTGTTTAACGGCACAAATGACGCCCAATCATTTTTTCGCCCTCATACTCGTATTGATACTAACCGTAAACGCAAGGAATCCCAAAACTTTTATAAACAAACTTTATATTACTAATTAGTAACTACAAGAATTATTTGTCAAATGACGGATGATTCGTTTTCTAAACTATTAATTATTATTTGCTTGCCACTATTAACTAATCCGTTCAAATCGATCGTTATGTCTTATGTGCATTTAGATATTTGTTCAATTGTTCGTTATGAGCATTGTTATTACTTGATCATTTTTTGGGAACCACTGATAACATTATCTTGTGTGTCGTGAGTACTTGTGATAGTCAGTGCACACTACACACTCCGAGTTCCGACACTGCACCACGCCACTACTCCACTACTCAGTGCTCACAACGCTCAGTGCGATGGCTAGAGTATGAAATTGAAATATGAATGCATTATTATTTATTTAGTCATGGCGTCATGCACTCATGCTCATTGCTCAGTCGCTCGGAAGTCGGAGCTCACTGCTCAGACGCTCAGTGCTTCGGAAGCGTCATGACAAAATTATTTTGTTATGCGAACCACTAGCACGAAATAAGAGTTTTATACGAGATATATATTATTATATCATAATTCGTGATTAATTGTAGTTACTGCTCACATCGGGCTTAGGGACTAAGTCTATGAACAGAAGTGATTCTATATTAATTATATAGATTACCAACTTATTTTTGACTCAAGGCAGTAGGTAGGTACGGTACCAGAATCATTTTCTAAAAATCCGGAAACACTCTATTGAAGTAGATACATAGTGTATTTATATTTATATTTTATAACTTGGGTTTTCTTTAGCTAGGTATAACCGAACATAATATTAGTATTATACTTTTATAATAACGTTAAATTTGATAAAACACGATTTAAATTTGTAAACATAATTATAACGGAAAACGATACCTACACAAAAATAATTAAAAACCACAAAACAAAACTTAACGATTAACAAAATATATAATAATTTTATAGTATAAGATATATTATTTAAGGGGCCTGCTCGCGATTTTTCAAATTTTCCGCAATTCTATCAAATTTGAAAATTAAATTTTATATTTTAGTTACCACCTCAATTATAAGACTTTTCCACTAATCTACTACCCAATACCTATTTAGGGGGGGTTGATAGGGTGTATTATATCGGTCAAAACACAGTTTACAGGAAAAACTCTCACACCTCGTAGATTGGTCCGATTTCCGTAATTTTTTTTTTGTTAGATAGAGGAATATTTTTTACAGGGCGCATTGGACTTCGATTTTTGATTACGTCGCTAAAAACAAAAAATAATACAAAAACTAAAAAGTTGTAAAAATTGATTAAATTCAAACTTGTAACATAAGACTTAGAAAAATAATGTTGAAAATCCAAGTCCAATGCGCCCTGTAAGAAGTCTTCCTCTATCTAACAAAAAAAAAATTACGGAAATCGGACCAATCTACGAGGCGTGAGAGTTTTTCCTGTAAGGCATGTTTTTGAGCAAAAAAACAGGTCGCGTGCAGGCCCCTTAACAAAATATAACTGAAAACGTAATTTATAGAATATCATTAAACGATAAATAACTCAAAACAAAACAATTTAAAATCCATTTATTTAAAAGTTATGATATTGGTTTCGTCCACAGGGTGCCACTATTGGGTGACTTCCCCCTCCCGCTAATAAACCCTCTTCTCATTTACTCATTGTACTACATGTAAATATAGATTGTAAATGAATTTTTGTTCAATATAAAAAAAAAAAAGGTGGGTAAGTGGATGTCGCTCTGCTGTACAGTAGGTTACAAATGGGTCACTGTATAATGGATGCTATTAAATTTGAATTCAATAATACAATTTCATTGTATAAGAAAAACGATTCTGAGCGAAGACGGTATGTCAGTCTATAGGTTTAATACAAATTATATACATATCTATGGTATTAAAAAAAAAATTGACCTATAATAAATTCCAAATTAATCATATCACATTATCACAATATCCATTAGGTACTTATAACACGTTATACATCAACATCAATAACAAATCCTGATACTATCATTGATATATAATAGTAAACTTTAGAAGTTTCAAGTAGGTACCCATGAATAATATTATATAATCACAACAAAATAACTAGGTTTTTTAATATGTAATTTCGTCCAAATTTGAACATAAAATGACTATAAAAATAAACTGTGATTGTATATTTTTTAGATTTTTTGGTAAAAGAATTAACTACTTACGTGGAATCTTGTTTTAAATTTTCAAACCTTAGCTATAAAAACTGATTATTTTATAATTTATTAATTACGATGATTGATAATTTTCGAGATTTTGAAAAATTCTGTTAAAATTCGATGTTTAAATGCTTATAAAAAAAAACTGTGCCTATGTATTTTTAATATTTTTCAACTGATATTGTAACAATATATCAGGAGCCTTGTATTAAATTTTTACACTTTTTGGCCCAACAGATAAAACTTTATTGATATTCATAGAAAAAAAAACTAAAAAAATTTAAAAATGAAAATATCCGTCAACAGCTTAAAAAGAGTCAAAATATTTTCAAAATCGTATGGTGTATAGGAAATGCTAATATAAACATTCAGTGAAATTTTCATGTAGGTATCTATAGTTATTCGTTTATGAACACACATTAAAGAGTTCAAACTAAAATGTCCAGAAACTTAACAGAAAAACTATTCAAAATGATAAGATCATTAAAGAAAGATAATTCATAGGGCCAATGCAGGTTATCAACGTTCAGGTCTAAACAAAATATTTAACTAGAGTTAAATAACTAAAAAAAAAAATTGAAGGGGGGTGTTGGCGCCCGCAGGCAAATGCGTTTTAGAAAACAAAAAAAAAAAAATTAGAAGAAATTAAACAATAGGACCACACATTAAAGAATTCAAACTAAAATATCCAGATTCTTAAATAGATGACACTATTTAAAATAATTAGTGCGGGTTATCAATGTTCACATCTTAACAAAAAATTTAACTAGAATTGAATAACTGAAAAAAAAAACTTGAAGGGGGATGTTGGCGCCCGCAGGCAAATGCGTTTTAGAAAACAAAAAAAAATTAGAAGAAATTAAACATTAGGACCACACATTAAAGAGTCAGGTTATCAACGTTCAAGTCCAAACAAAATATTTAACTAGAGTTAAATAACTAAAAAAAAAAAATTGAAGGGGGGTGTTGGCGCCCGTAGGCAAATGCGTTTTAGAAAACAAAAAAAAATTAGAAGAAATTAAACAATAGGACCCCACATTAAAGAATTCAAACTAAAATGTCCAGATTCTTAAATAGATAACACTATTTAAAATAATTAGCGCAGGGTATCAAAGTTCACATCTTAACAAAAAATTGAACTAGAGTTAAATAACTAAAAAAAAAAATTGAAGGGGGATGTTGGCGCCCGCAGGCAAGTGCGTTTTAGAAAACAAAAATAAAAAAAAATTAGAAATTAAACAATAGGACCACACATGAAAGAGTTCAAACTAAAATGTCCAGAAACTTAACAGAAAAACTATTCAAAATGATAAGATCATTAAAGAAAGATAATTTATAGGGCCAATGCAGGTTATCAACATTCAGGTCTAAACAAAATATTTAACTAGAGTTAAATAACTAAAAAAAAAATTTGAAGGGGGGTGTTGGCGCCCGCAGGCAAATGCGTTTTAGAAAACAAAAAAAAAAAAATTAGAAGAAATTAAACAATAGGACCACACATTAAAGAATTCAAACTAAAATATCCAGATTCTTAAATAGATGACACTATTTAAAATAATTAGTGCGGGTTATCAATGTTCACATCTTAACAAAAAATTTAACTAGAATTGAATAACTGAAAAAAAAAACTTGAAGGGGGATGTTGGCGCCCGCAGGCAAATGCGTTTTAGAAAACAAAAAAAAATTAGAAGAAATTAAACATTAGGACCACACATTAAAGAGTCAGGTTATCAACGTTCAAGTCCAAACAAAATATTTAACTAGAGTTAAATAACTAAAAAAAAAAAATTGAAGGGGGGTGTTGGCGCCCGCAGGCAAATGCGTTTTAGAAAACAAAAAAAAAAAAATAGAAGAAATTAAACAATAGGACTACACATTAAAGAATTCAAACTAAAATGTCCAGGTTCTTAAATAGATAACACTATTTAAAATAATTAGCGCAGGGTATCAAAGTTCACATCTTAACAAAAAATTGAACTAGAGTTAAATAACTAAAAAAAAAAAATTGAAGGGGGATGTTGGCGCCCGCAGGCAAGTGCGTTTTAGAAAACAAAAATAAAAAAAAATTAGAAATTAAACAATAGGACCACACATGAAAGAGTTCAAACTAAAATGTCCAGAAACTTAACAGAAAAACTATTCAAAATGATAAGATCATTAAAGAAAGATAATTTATAGGGCCAATGCAGGTTATCAACATTCAGGTCTAAACAAAATATTTAACTAGAGTTAAATAACTAAAAAAAAAATTTGAAGGGGGGTGTTGGCACCCGAAGGCAAATCCGTTTGAGAAAACAAAAAAAAATTAGAAGAAATTAAATAATAGGACCACACATTAAAGAAAACAAACGAAAATGTCCAGATTATTAAACAGATAACACAAAACAAAAAAAAAATAGAAGAAATTTAATAATAGGACCACACATTAAAGAGTTCAAACTAAAATGTCCAGAAACTTAACAGAAAAAACTATTCAAAATGATAAGTTCATTAAAGAAAGATGATTCATAGGGCCAATGCCATCAACAGGCTTTCAGAATGTTTAGCTTATATGAAAGGGAAATGCGAAAAGGAAATGTAATTTTAGGTTAGGTTAGCGAATAAGTGTGTGTAG